GTAGAAGCAGCACCAGTGAGAAGGCAGACCCGAGACAGCTAGCGCCTCCGGGAGCCTTCCGTGGCTGGCCTGGCTTTCGTCTCTCACAGCTCTTTCTTCTCCAGGTGCCCTGTGGCTGACTCCACGCCTTGTGGCTCAGGAAGCTCCTGACTCACTTACCTTCTTTGCTGTCACTCTGCCCCACTGTGCCCCTGCATTTCCAGCCCCACCCAACCTCCAAGACTCATTCTCCTAGGAAGCCTCCCCTAGCCAATTCTGGGGCTCCTGGAACAGTCCTGCCCTTCTTTCTCTTCTTCTCCTTCTTCTTGTATTTAGTACAGGGCCTCACTACACAGATCAGACTGGGATTACAGGCTCACACCACCATGCCCAAGCTCAGCATGCCCCAGGGTAGGGCCAGCATGGCACACCAGAGATCGAACCCTGTCCCTGCACCTTCCTAAGCAGGTGCTTTAGTCCATTGAGCTGTCTGGCCAGCCCTCCTTTCTTCCTTTTGAGTGAGTACCTTTGTTACAACACTTTACATCATCATTTTTTTTCTTATGTACCCTATATAATTTTTTAAAAATTTAATTTATTTGATACAGGGTCTCCCTATGCAGTTCAGACTCATAGAGATCCTCCTGTCTCAGCCTCCCCAGCATTGGGATTATAAGTGTGCACTACCATGCTCATTTTCAGTGGCTGGCAGGGTGTGGGGCTGGCATGGTATGTGTACCAGGGATTGAACCCAGGTCCTTGTGTTGCCAGGCAGATACTTAGACCACCAAGTTATCTCCCCAGCATTGTGCATCCTATATATCTTCTCTGTACGCCCACTTTGTACAGAAGAAGGTGTTTAGTACCAGTGCAAACTAGACGTGAATGGCACTGGGACAGGACAGAGGAGACTGGCGGTTTTCTTCCTGCTCTCCGCATCTCAGACTACGTAGTAACACATTCACGCTCTCATGGAATGGAATGTACTCCGTAAACCTGGAAGTGCTCCGTCCTAGACAGTTCTGATCCTGTTACTGTCCCCCCAAAACGCCAAAGGAAAACACAGACACATCTTGAAAGGCTTTCTGAGCAGAAGCCAAGCACCAGAGGCCAGGCGTCGCGGAGGACGCACCCGCCACCTGCCGTACCGGGGATGGGCCTTCCTCTGTGGGATGTGACTCCTGCTTCACTTCACTGTTTTCATTGCTGCAGGGATTTATGCAGAGCAAGAGGAAAATGGTATTTTCTGTACAGTCCACCTATAAATACCTTTCCCAATTTGGCTGTGTCTACATAAGTCTAAATTTAATATCCCTAAAAAGAGACAAAAATAACACAGTGGTTATTTTGCCTACATGACACAAAATGACTTAGCCCATCTGCTTCACTGGGTTTGTCTGACGTGGGGTATGCACAGCATCCAGCATCTTACTCTTCTACCTACCACACGCTGCACTTGTGGGTATAAGCGTCAATGACAGCCACCTGGGAATTTCATCCCCAGCCACACCTGCCCTTTTCTGCCCAGTGGGGAAGAGAGAAGCACTTGTTTTCCAGTTCAATAGCTGTAGAGATGTGGCTGTCCCTCACCTGCCTGGCATGACATGATACAAGGGCTCTCGCATTAAGTGAAAGGGTATTTATTTTTGTTATACTTAATGGAGGCCTTTTTGAGAGGAATACATATTTCCCTGTCTCCTCTAAGAGTCTACATTAAGCCTAAATAACATTTTGCAAAACAACATCACAAGCCATGGGTATATCCCCAGGACCATGTAGCCTCCAAGGCTGTTGCCCCCATACCCTGTTGACCTGAGGCTTGCACGTTTTGTATTTGTTGTGACAGCTTCGTTTTGTCTCTTCTCTCCTCTCTTATGGTCCCTTCTTCATCTTTCACCCAGTAACCACTATCCTACTTTACTTCTGCTTGTCTGAATCCAATTGGTGAGATCAGGTGGCCCGGCCTGTTACTAAGACACGTAAAGCACAGAGCTACAGAGGCAGGCAGAGGCGTTCTACCACGCGTGAGGGCCGCAGCCCGGGAACCCTGCGACTCACGGTTTATCTTTATTCTTTTCAGTCTCTTGGCTGTGTCCCAGGTGATGGCTGGAACGTGACTGCTAAGCTGATAAAGTTTTGTCTTGGTTTTTGTCACTTATAGGTTCATTCTATTTTTTATTTTTTTTTTGCCTGCTCAGCCCACCCTGAGAGATTGGCTGGCGTGGCACATGGTGCCAGAGATCCAACCACGGTCCCCGGTGCCTGCCTAAGCTTGCCTAAGAAGGCACTTTAGACCACTAAGCTATCTCGTCGGCCCAGTTCATTCTACTTTGAATCACAAATCAGAAGTTTTTAAATGGCAGTTTTTTGGATTCAAGGATACATAAAATGTTAATATTACTGTTTAGTTGGCTTTAGAATTTAAATAATTTCCATAGTTTATTGTGACTTTATTGATTTGAATTTTAAATTTTATTTTGTTTTTATCAATTCCCATCTTTGATAAAAAAAAATTTCCTACAGGGAGTAGAAAACTGAACTTTGTATTTACAGATAGGCTGCTACCATTGGACGGACTCCAGAGCAATTATATGTAGATACAAGCTGTGGCCAGAGATGAATCCAAATTAGATGCAATCAGGCCGGAGAGATAGCTAGGTGGTCTAAGAGCCTGCCTGGCAAGCGCAAGGACTCAGGTTCGATCCCCAATATGACATGCCGTGCTGTGCCAGCCCCGGAACCATGGGTGTGCTGTGCAGGCCACCGAAACTGAGTGGTGGCACATACTTGTAACCCAGTGCTGGGGAGGCTGAGACTGGAAGATCACTATAAGTCTGAGTTGCCTTGCAAGACCTTTACCAAACAAACAAATTAGATGGAATCAAGAGCAGATTAGCTACACAAGTACAGATCACTTAGCCGCCTATACACGATCACTTTCAAATAGGTTTCAAACTCTTTCATATACATTAGCATTTTCTTCAAGACTTTTCTTTCTGCTGAATTTTTCTGTTTGAATGCGTAACTTCATAGTTGCCTAGATATTGCTTGTATCATAAAATATATTCTATTTTGCATCCACATAAATTAGACCAGACTTGCCTAAATCCTTCTACATTCTAAAACTGTGCTAGCTATGGCTCTTGCCCCCACAGAGCATCCGAACTCACTGGTGGGATAAGACCAGTGACTCCATGGAGGAGAAAAAAGAACATCCCACGCCCACAGATATGAACAGCTTGGAGCAAACCGCTGGTTATCAGCTATTGGTGGCCAAAGGATTCACAAAAGCAGGAAGACACTGCGTTCTAAAGGTAGCAGACCAGGCTTCTCAGAGACCCTAGACAAATAAAATTACGAAAGAGAGAGAGAGAGAGAGAGAGAGAGAGAGAGAGAGAGAGAGAGAGAGAGACCCTAGACAGAGGTGACCATGACAAATGGGTGGAGGTAGGACTCCAGGCCCCCAGGTGAACACAGGCCATCCTGGCTTCTGAGCAACTTTCCCCTAGCAGAAGCAGGAGCTGGGGCTGGCCCAGAGCTGAAGGAAAGGCCTTGGGAAGGAGGACGGAAGTTACCAACGAGGGTCATGGCAGGGCGACGAGCCCTTGGAGCCAGCGGCGGAGTGCGCCGCTTTCTCCAAGCACACGAGACCAGCATGGAGGCCCCTCTCTACACAAGTCCTTTTCCTTTCCAGCCAGCACACTAGCACAGAAGTCAGCTTTCTCCTGTTTCTAGCCCAGGCGGGCTGAGCCTAGAGCCTCCCCCCCCCCCAGGAAGCCTGAGCTAGGACAGGGGAGGTTGTTTCACGTGCTTCCAGCTCCCTGGAGAGAAGCTCCATAGGAGCCCAACTGCTAGAGAGGGGTTCCCGCTGGGGCCAGCTCTGAAGTCTGATATTCACTTTGGGGACATTTAGGGACCGATGCCATTACCTATGCAGAAGGTCTATTTAGGAGAGTGTCACCCCCTGGGATCACAGTAGACCCAAGGATGGAAAGAAGAGCTCTCTGGGCCCCAGGGAGGGGGCACTTTGAGCTGTGGTGGTGGGACACGCGCTGCGAAGGTGAAGGAGGAAAGAGCAAAGGCTGGGGGCCTTGGGGAAATTCTGCCCCCTTCCTGGCCCTGCTCAACGCCGAAGTCCAGATGTAACCCCGGCTAGGGCAACAGGGACCAAGCATCCCCAGCGGGTGCTGCTGCACTCCGGCTAGCCGGGCCCACTCCCTCCAGGACTCCCGGGCCCTGGCCAGGACAAGCAGACACCAAGTCTGAGCCAGGAGCCGGACAAGCCCCCTGGGCCGCGGCAGGGCTGCCGCGCTTGTCTCTCTGCTGGCTCTGTGCTCCCAGCTCCCGCAGCCCCTTCCTCGCCCGGCCCACCCCGGCACCATCCCAGAGCCCTTCTCTGTCTGTGCAGCACCCACCAGCCCTTTCTGGCTCGCAGGCTCGGCGTTCTCAGGGCCGGAGGAGGCGCCTTCATTGCCAAGTGGATGGGGGAGGGGCGAGGGGTTTGGCAGTGTGTCTCCCCAGGTGGGAGACCTGGGGGGCCCGGCACCCCGGGAAGGGGCTAGACGTTAGGCTTGGGTACCTCCACCCCCACCCGGCCCAGCTAGCCCCTCTCCACGATTCAGGACCCCGGGAACTTCGCGGTCTCCCCAGCCGCCATGCCCAGGCACTCCGCGGTATCCCCGCGCCCCTTGCTGTCTTCTCCACTGCTTCCCTCCTCCCGCCCCGCGTCTTTTCCGTCCAGTCCGTGGCCTCGGCTCTCAGCCTGCCCCTCTGCAAACACACCCTCCCCGATAGCCCGGCAGAACCCCGAGGGGAGGGGCGGACGCCCCTTCCCGCCTGTGGTTGGAGGGGACAGCGCAGCAGCCAGGGACGTGGGGGCGGGGGCCGACCCTGCGCCCCGCCCGATCAGGCCACGACTCTGGGGAGGGGGGCCGGTCCAGGCAGGTGCGGGCTCCAGCCTGACCCAGGCGGCTCCGGGGGCGGGGTCTCAGGTTACAGCCCGGCAGGGGGCTGGGGGCGGCCGCGGTTTGCGCCCGCTTGCCAGCCTAGAGGGCGGCGGGGAGCATATAACGGGCGGCGCGGCGGGAGAAGACGCAGAGCGCCGCTAGGCTGCCCGGTGCCCGCAGCCTCCGCCGTCTCCGCCGCTCCGCGCCGCCGAGGTCTCCTGCATGAGCGCGCGGTAGACTCGGCCAGCGCCGCGCTCCCGCCGCCCCGCAGCCTCTGCCCCGCCGGCCCCGCCAGGCCCGCGGGAGCCATGGTCCTCCTCGGGACGTCCCGCTCGCTGGTTCTGCTGACGCTGCTCGTCGCCGCGGTCCTCCGGTGTCAGGGCCAGGATGCCCGTAAGTGCCTGAGAATCCGCCCGTCCCCCTTCCAACCCCGCTCCGCAGCTGCTCCTGTCCCGGGGCGGCTCTCGGCGCCCTTGCGCGTGGCGACAGTTTCGGGACGTGCGGGCTCCGAGACAGCGCTGCGGCTAGGCGCTCCGCCCTGCACGTCTGGTGCCCCTGGAGGCCGTAGCCTTTCGCAGGTCCCGGCCCTGAGCGAGACCCTGGTCTCGCAGAGTCGGGCGCCAGCAATTTGCGTGCAGATGCAAATGCATTCCTCCACCGACTTCGGTAATTAGGCGCACAGGCGCGCAATTGGCCTCGCCAAGTCCTGCGGGCGCTGCAAAGGCGGCCGTGACCCCTGGAGCGCAGAATAGGGGAGCGAGCGGGCGGGACTTCGCCTCCTTAACCAGGGGTGGGAGGCTGGGGGCGGGGGGCGGGAGTTCAAAGGGAAGTGAGACAAAGAGAACTAATTCTGACACCGGTGGGCTGAAACCTGAGGCCACAAAGAAAGGCTTCGGTGAGGCGCTGTGGCTCGCGGCGCCTTGGGAGAGCTCCCTCTCGCTCCGCGGCCCGCAGTGAGGTTCAGTGCTCTCGCCTTCCCCTTCGCCTCTTTTCTGCCGAAGGCCGCAAAAGCTTCTCCTAGCAAAGGCGAGCACTTTCCAGCCTAACGCGCTTTGCAGTTGTCCGCGAAAAGGCACCCTGTCCCTGTCCTCGCCGTCTTACCGTCTTCCCTGCCGCGATGGGTTATTTTTGTAAGTTTCTGGATCTCATCAAGCCAGGCAGCGGGCCGTGTGTGGTGCGTGTGTGTGTGTGTGTGTGTGTGCGCGCGTGCGCGTGTGTGTGGCAGGGGAAGGCGATATTACTGTAAGTATTCAGCTCAGGATATTTAGAGAGAACAGTCTTACAGTTGAGTCCAAAGGCGGTGCTGACGCTACCTTTCCGCCTCCTTCGGTAAAGCTAGCTGTCTGGGATTATATTCAGGGCAAACAAACCCTGGAAAGTGTATTAGGTAGAGACAATTTTTTTTCCACGTGTTTGGGCACGTTTCCTACCTCCCGGATTCCAGCCCTGTCTTTGTGTGTTACAGATTGTAAATCAATCGCAGGTGAAACTTTGGGTGGGGGCGGGGATTGAAGTCCCTCTGCCTCCAAGGCTCTGCGCGCTGTCGCTGACCCCCGGGTTGTCTGCAGAGCTGGGCTGCGTGAACGGCTCCATTCCGGCAGCACCGCAGATCCCGGCGGGGCAGGGCAGGTGCGGGGCGCTGCGGCCTGGAGCCTCCGGCTGCGCCGCTTGGGGTCGTGCTCCCGGTCCTTGGGGAGGACTTACGCCCGAGGTCTGAGCTTGGACTGGCACTGTTTTTGTCCTAAATTTGTCAGTACACATCCACAAAAAAGCTTTTTTTTTTTTTTTTTTTTTTTTTTTTTTTTTGCGGAACCAGGGATTGAGCTCAGACCCTTGCACTTGCTAGGGAAGCACTTATTCCACTGAGCCATCTCCCCGGCCCCCCAAAAAGCTTTATTCTTGACAGAGTTGCGCCTTCGGCCGCAGTGGACGTGCTAGGTGACTTCATAGCTCCGACTCTCTGACGTTAGAGGCGCTCGCCGCGCCTTTCGCGGCCAGGAGTGAATTTCGCAACTTTTGGGCCCAACCTCCCGCTCGCCGATCCTCCTCCTGTAACTGTGCCCGCTCCTCCCGGTCGCGGGTCGCAGACCCAGAGCGCGCGGAGAAAGATGCGCCCTCGCGGGGCTCAGGAATGCCAGAGCCCGGGGTCCACTTACGCTCCGCCTCGACTTTCCATAAGTTTGAGGAACTTGGCGGCGCTTTTGACCCACATCTGCATTTCACAGTCCTCGCTCCAGAGCGCCGCTGGCGCGGGGAGACCTCAGTCCTGCTTTGTGAGGCTGCTTGCGCTGGGCGGCTGGCAGCGATGGCTTCCAGATGCGCCGAAGCCCTTCCCGTATTTATTTAAACGAGTTCCTTAAGGAGACCTGTGAATTGGGCTCTGTACGCACACGAGAAAAGCCCCATTCATGGGAGGCAGGCGGGGTCCGGTGGGCTCCCCGGGATCCCCGGCCCCCACTCCCACAAATGCCCCCTGTGCCCGCCGCCGCCGCCTCCCCGACTCCAGCCTTGCGCTAGGCGGCGCGAAGCAAAACAGTTCCCCGAAAGAGGTAGCTTTTTAATTGGCTCGCCACAAAGAGTCATTTGTGCGGCTGCAGCCCGGAGGGAACCGTATCAGGTGCGCGGTGGTATCTGCGGCCGTGGCGCTGGCCTCCTAGTCCACACCTAGCGGATCCGGTTACGGCGTGGCTCCTTTCTGGGGCAGTCGTTGAATGCCACTTTTTACGATCCCAGCGTCTGCAGAAGGGAAGAGTCAGCCAGCAGCTCTCATGCCCAGTGCCCCCTTTCCTGGGGAAATCTGATCTGCTGTGGAGACGCCCCCTCTCTGGGAACCTTCCCTCTCCTCCCTGGGCCCTCCTATGGCAGTGGGTTCCTCCTGAATCTCTGAATCTCCACTGGACACCTTTCTTTTTTCTTTTCTTTTTGTTTTGTTTTCTTTCTTTCTTTCTTTTTTCTTTTCTTTTTTTTTTTTTTTGTCTTTTTGAGACAGGGTCTAGCTATTGAGCTCACTTCCTAGCCCAGGCTGGCCTCGAACTCACAATGATCCTCCTGCCTCAGCCTCCTTAGTGCTGGGATTATAGGCGAGCACTACCATGCTTGTTTTGTTTTTTGTTTCTTTTTCTTTTTGTACTGAGAATCAAACTCAGGACCTTGCGCTTAGCAGGCAGGCACTCTCCCCTGCTGGACACCTTTAACCCCAGTGTGCAAACTCACCCCCTCCACACACCCCCTGCTTGGTGCATTCTACACCTTCAGGTATTCCCGCGAGGGATGTGTCCTGGCAGTATTGGCTATTCCTGTGGCGCCCCCTCTGGCTGCCAGGGATGGTCTTGCCTAAAGGCGAGATAATCACTAGATTTCTTCTAGTGGAACAAAAAAAATGTTTCTGTTTAGTTTTTCACATCCTTAAAGTGCGGAGGGCAGGCAGGCCCATTTCTCTCCATGCCCCTCAGGTCTGGGGCTCTTCCCTAATATTCATCCCTTGCTCTTGCCTTGGCGCTGGAGATTTTGATGAGAAAAACATGTGGTGTGAGCTCTGCAGCCCGGCTCCATGGAGCTCCTGCCACTGCAGCCTCTTGCAGCACAAATTCCAGACAGCAGGGCGCTGGTGGAGAGGGCTAGGCAGGGCTCTTCTGGGCTGCGTTCTCGCAGGACGCCAGCCCTGGCCTCCACACTTGCCTGCCCGCGAAGCGCTGCTCTCTGTCTGCAGCGGCAGGCAGTGCCTGTCTGGCAGGAGCACGCCTGGAGGTCGGCCCCAGCGGCATTTTAAGTCACCTGGTGCCTGCTGCGGCAGCCGCTGTGTGGCATGGGCAGCTCCCCCAGTTGGTCCTGGTGCTTTCTGTTGTTTGTTTGTTGGTCTTTTTAGACAGGGTCTCACTGTGCAGTTCAGGCTGGCCTCGAGCACACTGCCTAGCCCGGGCTGGCCTCAACCGGCAACAATCCTCCTGCTCAGCCTCCTGCCTCAGCCTTGGTCCTAGTGCTAATATGGTTTAAATAACTAACAGGAGAGTTCCTAATCCTAAGAGCTCCTCCTTTCACTGTCCCCTCCTCTTGTAGGTCTATTTTATGCAGTCTGGCTGTTTATAGATTCTGACTTTTGTGGGTGGAACTTTTTACATTCTCTTTGAATTTTAGCTGTCAGTGGTGTTTAGCAAATTCCACAATTCCTGGAAAAATAAAAGGAAGACCTCTACTTTTGTGACAGGGTGCCTTCCCATTTTCCTGCCTCGTTTCCCTTACCTCCCGGTTGCTGTTGAGCCTCCTTCTCCTCCTCCTCCTCCTC